TAAAGGTAAAACAGAAGTATCGTTGAAAAAAAGTGTCTGAAAAATGTCCAAATGAGTCGATATTGAACATAAAAATTACAACTCTTGGAATCTAGTTTAACATTAAAATTGTTCAACATTGGAGTGTCCTCATTTATAATTTCGAAAAGGCGATCAAATTTTGTATGTTAAGTTTTCGTAACAACTATCATGCCTTAACTGAAGCGACTTGTGAAAGCAAAGGAAAAAAAATCGGGCTCAACTGGAATTTTTCCATACCAAATTACCGCAGTATAAATTAAATCGATCCCATTTTTTTTTCAAAGAAAAAAATTAATGAATGACCATAATTTTATGTCTCTCTTTCTTCTAAATATAAAATAAAAGAAAATTGGTAATAAAAAAAAGATTTTCGGGCTCAACTGGGAATTGAACCCAGGGCCTCTCGCACCCAAAGCGAGAATCATACCACTAGACCATTGAGCCGCTTGAAAAGATATCGTTTCGATCTGCTCAAAACGAACATCATCATCGCAAACATTTACATAATTGTGCTGACCGACAAAACAAGTTTGAATTTGTGAAAGGTGCTTAGAAATGTGTAAACGACTCATAAACATTATGAATTGACATTCAACTGCATTTTGTTTTATTTTTTATTAATACATTTTCCTATAATAATGGTATTAATGTCCCATTTGATTTGTCCACACTTGAATCACCGTATAGGTCCTGATTTTTTTACATTATACCAAATAATGAAATCAACACAAGTGCAAATGGCATAGAGAAGTGCCATACTGGAATGTAGGTAATATCGAAATTCGACAGAGTCATACAACAGGCTTTTTCCTCCTCTCATACCTCTTAGTTCACCGCATTTATTTTCTTGGTCGATTTTTTGCTCGACTTTCTCATCGGACGTTGTGTCATTCGGTTGCTGGTTTTCGATTGGTGTTTTTTTTTTCAGACTTTTTGGATATGAACCGATTATTGCGGCGAAAATAAACATAATTATGGCGATCACAATGAAACCAAGCCACCATGCACCAGACAATATATTGAACTAATTGGTCAGTTGAGCTGAAAGTACGTTAGCTAGCTAAATGAACTAAAACAATAGAAGTTATTGTTATAATGAACAATCATTTCTATTAAAACAAGAAAAGTGATTCATTATTAAAACAATAACGTCTATTGTTTTCGCCCATTTAGCTGGCTAACGTACTGTCAGCTCAACTGACCAGTTAATTCAATATATTGTCTGCCATGCACCCATCCAACGATGATCGTCTTTTTAAATTAACGGTGTTAACGTCGGTGCAATATAAACACTCAATATTAAATAAGCAAAACCAAATGCAAATATTTGACCCAGATATTGCAATGCAATTGTATATGAAAATATTAATGAAGTTTTTTGTTACGTTGTATTATCATCAATGTATGTTCTTCCGACCGAACTGTACAGCGTGTGTCCGATTCCAAACAAAAATTGGGACACAAATAATAAATCCAACGGAACATAGGTAAAGTCGTCATCGTAATCGACAACGGACAGAGAAACCGAACTTTGACAAATTTTATTATCAGCTTTTGACTTATTTGGAGATGAAATCAGCTGAGAGAAAGTTGCAATACATTTATAACATTTGTTCCGACAAACAAATTCAACGGTGTCTTGTTTACCTCATGTATTCTTTTGTGAACTGGAGTGCTTCGTCGCCAGCACCATAAATAAAATGCGGCACCATAAATAACCAGTATTAAGCATGACACCCCATGATATCCACCGTGGACCATTCTAATTACCACCAAATACGTCAAAATCAATGTTACCGTTGTTTGACTTCGTATCCGGAAGCGTTTTTCAAGTGTAGTCAATATAGTAGCAAAGTATATGCTACAGGCCGATAGAATTGTATCAACCACCGCATAAACTACGACAAAACTAACGTAGCTGGTAAACCATCCATTTTTAAACATTTTTCCACAGATTTTTTTTTTGATAACTTAATTTAATTCAAAATTCAATAAAAACCAGCCGGTGTATATTTGTATGAGATTGGAGACTTTTTTTTGCGAATCTCGCTAATGAGCACCATCTGATTTTAGTGTGAATTAGATGCAAAAACTGAATTTAATTCTGTAGCATTGAAATGAAAAAGTGAAAAAACAACAACAATAGCACGGCCACACAGAGCTGTACATCTATGCGTGCTGATGCATACATACACATATACGCTTTCTTCATTCTTTCATTCCATTGCTATACGTATCTCACTGGTCAACAGATCTATGTAGCCATGTTACTGTTGTTGTTTTTTTTCTCTTTTTCGATTCAATTCATTGTAACTAAATTGAGTTCAACTATGGAATACAAGATGGCACAGATGAAGGGAATTCGCATTTTGTCTCTTCATAGGCTTAGCCGGTTGATTCACACACATTAAAATTGTTGACAATGTATTTGGTAATCACATTGAGTTTTGTGTCGACGATTTTTATTGCGCAACAAAATATAAGTGCGAGTTGTGTGTGAATAGAATGTCCATTGTAAACATTCATACGTGCAAGGGTGAGCGTGATAGCATGAGATAGATAGATTTGGGTGAAAGAGATAGCAAATTTTTCACAGCAAATGATATAGACCATTCAGTAGTGTTCGTGAAATGAAAAAAATAATAATTTTTTTTTCACTTTTTTGCTCTCCACCGAGTCTCCGAGAAAAATTGACCATTGTTGATTGTACTATTTCTAACTTTAATTTGAATTCACCATTGAAATGCTTAGATATAAAAAAGACAAATGTCAATCCAACGGAAATCATTCGACATTATCCGCAGTTAGAAGAAGCCAATATCCTTTTATACAAATACAGTAATCAATATACTAGTTTTTACGAAATAGCGAGTCATTATATTGATTTTGTAAGATTAAATCCACAGCTGAAATCATTCACTATATATAAATTTCATCTACGCTATCTCGAAAATCTTGTGAGTCTTGTGCCAAACCTCGTTAGTTTTACACTTGAAGAGTGTGAACTTGTATTTCGAGAGAATGATAAAAATATGTTATGTTTGAGTCGATTGCACAAATTGAAACGGTTATATATTTCCAGCTACACTGTGAATATAACTAGTCTCAATAGGTGTTTGGATTCTCTAGTTGAAAATAATGTTCAACTTGAAGATCTAACCATTATTGGTGTTGATCTAGATGAAGCATCAAGTATAACAAAGCTGCAATTTTTTAAAAAAATAAAAATTAATCATCCTTTAAAGGAGAGTACTTTGATCCACTTTGTTAAAAATTTACCGAATCTCGAAGAAATTAAAGAAGGGGAAAACTCGCGAACAAAATTAACTGAGAGCACTCTAAGCGAAATTCTTGCATTTGGAAATAATTTGAAAAGGTTAAAATTTTGGTTGTTGCACATGATTGTCGAATCGGATGATTTCAAATGGATTTTGGCATTGATTAAAGGTCGTGTGAATGTTCAAATAAAATGTAAACAATGTAAAGTTTCGAAAGATCTTTTAGACGCCAATCGCAAATGGTTGGAAATTGAGCCCAAATATTATTCTGATGTTTAAGAAACTTTGAAAATATCGATGTGAATAAAGAAAAGAAATGCTTATCTTGACCAGCTTGATCGCTCAATCCATTTGCTGTATTTGAAACTTGTCCCGATGCTAGATCGGACACACCACTAATTCCGCTCCATTTACAACTCCATTGTCCAGCCCCATTTACAACGCCGCTCGTGGCTTGACCCGAATCGCTAGCTGAGTTTGAAACCTGTCCTATTGCTTGGCCAGCAGCATTTCCGATGGTCTGAACAATTTGGCCAACTTGATTGGCTCCATTCGATGTGAGTGTTTCGAGTGTTGATGCGATGCCACTTGATGACAGTAGACTGGCGAGGCGACTAGTTGGTAGTGTTCCGGTGATAGAAGTAAATTTGCTGAGAATCGATGCATCGAGAATCGATGCATTGAAAGCAGACAAAATCGATGATGGCAAACTTTTCAAAACATCCGACGGAGCAATCGCATTAAAAAGGGTGGTTTAAGTTGGTTTTGAAGCGGAAATTACATTTTGGATTGTTGAAGCAGCCACTTTACCGCTTGGCACTAGTTTCTTGATGAGACCGGCCAAAGCACCACTTCCGCTGCCAATGCTACTACATTTCCACTTTGGCTGGCTAATCCGTTGCCGTCTTGTTTTTGAATATCGCCGATAGTAGACGATGGCAGTTGACCAATTATGAAACTTACGACACTTGAAGCTGGCACCTGGCCTCCATTTGTACCGCTCAATTGTTTGACAATCGAAGATGGATCGACTATTTGATTCAATGCGGACGATGGAAGTTTACTCACCAAACCGTCTAAAGAACCTACGCCTAAGGTTTTAATTTTGTTGAGAACAGTACTCAGAGGTGATGCACCACCCAAACCGGACAGTGCGCTGGTGATTGATAAAGTACTGATCGGTGAATCTGACCCTGAACCACTTGATGGAGAAGATCCGCTGGTCACACTACTACCACTGCTATTGCCACTGCTGCCGCTTGCACCATTTGAAGGTCCATTGCCAAAATTGCCGAGATTTCCGGAAATGCCTGAGGCGGGGACAAAAAGATTGCCGAGTCCACTTCCGCCTTGATTGGGTCCACTTCCAAGATGGCTTCCACTTTCATCAACATTCAATCTGGCTTCTTGGATCTTCTGTATGAGCGAAGGTAGCAAATTGCTGTTATTGATAACAAATTTTGCAATATCGTTAATCGAATTTGCGGTACAGTCACTCATACAACTGTTGCTCGATACAGTTGATAGTGTGGGCGCGCCAGCGACGCCAATAGCAAGTAATAAAGCGAATAGGTATTTCATCGTGCTTATAAACATTTAATTTTCAAAATTAAATTAATTTGTACTTTTGTCCGTAAACTGAACCAAACTGATCAAATTCTTCAACTTGACTGATGCTTCTGCTCAATATTGTCACGATATTTATACGATTTGAGACGATAATCGATTACGTCGTCTGCATATTTAATTGGATGTTACATTTTCGACCATTTGTGGAAATATTTTCGTGTTTTTGGTTCTAATTCGATTGTGTTTGTTTTTTATTCGCATGCAATTTCTTTTATATTGATTTAAAATCACCTACAACAGATCTTTGCAAGAATAAATATTAAGAAGACAAAGAAGAAAAACAGCTTCTATCGATAGAATTTGCATTGGATGCGATTACGTAATTCTGTTTTCGCAACATTCCAAAACAATACACCGATTACAGATTTTAATGAAAATTAGATTGTTAATTTGCAAATCTATTTGTTTTGGATGCGATGGCTTTTGTGCAAATTTCTAATGTTTTTCATCAGTTTTTGAGCAATATCTGTTGACCGGTGTAATTTTTTTTGGTCCGAATGGAGTATCCACATCCATACATTTTTTGATCATTTTTCAACCATTTTGGTGACACGATGGTTTCGTGCTCAGACATGAAATTCAAAATCTGACTTTACGGGATGATTGAGCATTACGAGGAATAGATCTGGTCAAATGTTCAACGACATTGATTGATCGGTGTAAAACTTACACTCTGAAGAGGCACTTATCAGAAAAATGCCTTAAAATGATATTCTTTCAATTTGAACGCTGAAAGAATGTGTAGTGGGGGGGTTTTTTGGCACGAGAAACCCGAATCTGATTAATTTTAAGATGCAATAAATTTTTCACAGACTTTTCATACCAAAATCAACAAAAAATTTCATTTTTGTATGAAAGACATGCCTTTGTGGTACCGTATTGATGTGAAACTTTGAACAGGCTATTTTTTTATTGAAATTTCTTTAAACTTGGTGTGATTATTTATTTTGATAAGAAAATAATATTCACAAGTTTTCACGGTAATTTAAGTTACTGCAACCATACATAGACCATAATTTCAGTTTATTCCCAAAATTTCGGTTCCATGCGGAAAAGTCAGCTTGCGTACGTAAGCCTCTTTATATATGATTCGAACTCATTTTATCTAGGAGACACTACAGAAATTTTCTAGCTTTGCATAAGTTTTCACTTTTTTCATGCAACATGATTAAATAAAGTTTTTAAGGTATTAATTGATGTACAATTGTACATAGAATGAATACTGTTACAATAACGAAAAATTATTAAATGATGGCTGATATTCGACAGCATACATTTTAATTTAAAAATCACCATGTGATTTTGAGTCATGCAAATGTCTAATGCCACTATTTCTGAATATCAAAGGATCTATGAAACCAAAAACTGTTTGCCGTCATACAGCGCATTTCAACAAAAATCGTTGGTCACATATTCACGAATGCTGTGTTTAAAATATAAAAGGCATTTTGACACAGCAAAGAAAAAATTCTACATTTTTCATATTTTCTCGAGTTTTCGGGAAATATTTCCAATCTATGTAATTTTCCAATCTATATTTCCAATCTATGTATCACTTTTCACTAACTCACCGATTAGTGATATTAGATTGATCATTGAACGACGTTGGCCAGAAATACAACAATATACAGACATTCCGAAACATTTCTTCCTAGATATGTTTGACTTGGTCACTTGTAATTGTTATTTTACATATAATAACATAACATACAAGCAAATATTTGGAACACCCATGGGAAGTCCGATCAGCTGTGATGCCACATGTATTTTAATGGATGAGATTCTAACATTAGCAAAAGAAAAGGTGAAGAGTACTTTGGGCTTCGATATTAAAGTCATGAGAAAATACGTCGACGATATTTGTTTGATTGTACCAGTTGATTTAGTTGAACCAATTTTGAATATTTTCAATGGAGTTAATGAACATATACAATTCACCATGGAAATGGAACACAATAATACTTTACCATTTCTCGATATGCTTGTTGAAAGACACCAAGATGGTACAATTACTACACAATGGTATCAAAAACCAATTTCCAGTGGGAGAATTTTGAACTATAGATCATTTCACCCCTTAAAAACAAAGATTAGCACTGCTTATGGAGTAATTGATCGTGTGGTACGCTTAACAAGTAATGCGGGGGTGTACAATGTTAAAAACACCATTGATGATATTCTGTCTAAAAACGATTTTCCGAAAAGTTTAATCAATCGTCTATGTGCGCGTTATAATACAAGAACCCGTAATGATATTTCAAATAATGCACCAATTAATAGTACATCTAACATGGAAACAGCATCGCAAATGATTTTTGCCTCTACCAGTTATATACAAGGAGTGTCTGAACGTATTAGAACAATTATATCAAGATATGTAAACATAAAAATGGCCTTCAATACAACAACAACTGTATCGGCGATTTTTACCAGACTTAAAGACAAAACACCCATCCATAAACACAATGATGTAATATATGCTATTCCATGCAAAAATTGTAATTCAAATTACATTGGTAATACGGGGCAGTTACTGATTGAGAGGGAAAAACAACATGAAAGATCAGAACGCAATAAAGAGATTGGGAAAAGCGCACTAGTCAAACATTCAGTTGAAAATGACCATTCCTTTGATTACAAAAACACAAAAATTTTGACTCATTGCAGTCACAAAGAAAAAAGATATTTAATTGAAGAAATGTACATAAAAACAACTGAAAACTGTGTAAATCTGAGAAGCATTGAATCAAGAAATATTAGTAACATCTATAATAATTTTTTCTATAAATTCAAAAATAGAATCTGAAGCGTGGTCCATATTCATAATATTTTCTTATGTTTTGCACTGTGGACTATGTTTAAAATGACACTTTGACATTTACCATTCAATGAGTTTTCAGATTGGCATTGTTTACATGTTTGATATAACACATTCGGATACAATCGTTTTTGTGAATTGTGGAATTTAAATAATTAAATGTTTGACACGCATTCTGGATATGAACATCTTTGTTCTAAAATATATTGTTTGTAACTTATATTAGAAAATTAAATTGTTTATTTTAGCCCTGATGAAGATTTGAAGAATAAATCGAAACGTTGGCGTTATACATGAAGCACTAAATAGTTTTGCGTATTTATTTAGACTGAAAGGTCCAGTAGAAAACAATTTCAATTATTTTGATCAGTCGGTAGTCGTCAAGTGAGTATGTAATTTTCCATTCCAATTGAAACGACAAGACTATGTGTGAATGTTTTGCAACTATTCATTACTTGATGTATGGAAAATTGGCTTGGTGTCATCACCAATCACATAGTGTATAGAAAAAATATACTTTGAAATTACTATAAAATTTCGGCAAGACCTACTCGAACGGATGAGGGATGTCTTCTTTTAATTAAATCAAAAAAATTGAATTGAAAATCGCAAAACATCATTATTCTGAGTTTGCAATGCATTCAAGATTGATTGACATTAAAGTCTGTATTGCAAACTCAAAATATTGATGTTTAATGTAAATTTCATCTTTTATTGTTGTCTACATTCAGGTGCAAAGCACTTATTGCCTTTGAACGGTTTCATTACGATATATTTTCTATATCAGGGTTTTGCTCGTACTTTAAGTTGGTTTTGAGTAAGTTTGTTGAAGTTTACCGTTCAAAGATTGACGAAAAAAAAGATTGTGTTCTTTGAATTGTTGCAAGGTACATTTGGGTGACTTTTTTCTCAAATTAAATCGAGATATTTCTTAAAAATGTCAATATCTGCGGAACATCCACCAAAACGGCAAAAAATTACAATTGAAGTCGTTATTATCATACCATAATATTGAAAATTTGATTTTTCATCAAAAATCTTCCAAATTTTATGCCTGGACGAGACTACAGTCGATTTGTATTTTGTGTGTGGCGATAGAAAGGACCACATACCAACACATAAATGTGTTTTGCCAAAGGCAAGCAATGTATTCCGGAAAATGTTTTACGACAACTTCGCTGGATTTTGTTGAATATGCTATTGGCAAAAAGGCCACTGTAATTTAGCATATGTGTGAGTGTCACTTGATGCATTGGTAAGTAATGCAAAGATTTAGCATGCAGAAAAATTGTACGATCTTCTTATGGAGTCAAATAAACAAATAAATGAAAATTCTCACATAGTATTATCGTTGTCAATCTGATATGCGACTCCACTTTGTCACAACTCATATAAATGACTTCACCAACATGAATAAGACTAACACAATGACACGACAAAAGTGTAACTAATCGTCTTTGTGAGCGTCAGTGGTCATTAAATGCCTTTGAAAAGTATCTCATGCTGAAACATCAGTCTCGTGTATGCAATTTACACTTTTCATGCATACATTTTACATTTCGAATGCTGTACGATTTGTTATTCTGCATAACGACCACCGAACGGGTGATATCGCATTATAGACAACGAGAATCGAATAAATACGCAGAATTGTGAGAAAAACGTTTGGTTAAACACACCTTTTATTTACTCTACAAACAAAATAGTATCTTAGCCAAAATATACAAACAATCCAATTTTATGTACTACTGTTCAGAATCCATTAGTTTTGAGACTAATTCAAATTCAGCAAAGCTCTATTTACTTTTGTCGCTTGTATTTTTCAAACACAGACATTGATTGCCATTTAAATCAATAAAATATGAAATGAAAATAAATAATGGTTTATTAAACATCTGGCTGATTTGGAGCGAATACCCGATAATATTGAATTAAATGACTTCGAACATTTTGAACATAATTTAACACGCAATTAATTGAATTTATGTTCACGTGAAATTTGAACTTTCTGCGATATTGGCTAATTGATCGCAGGAATATTACGAATTGAATGAAAATTCGCATGTTTTCTTTCTTTCTTTTGGATAAAGACATTTTTTTCAATATTTTTCAGGTTTTGAGCTGTTCTCTGGAAATTATGACCAATTTAATATATTTTTCTGTAAATGTAGCTGTGTCTATA